GGGGGGGAAGGGAGGGAGGAAGGAGAGGTCGGAGAGGGAGGAATGTGCCGTTGGGAGACAAGGGGGAAAGGAAACCAGAAAATGAGGTTAATATTGGGTTACCACGAAAGTCAGGATGCATATTTGTGTAGAAAAATACATGATTTTCTGGACAACCTAATTGTTAAGGCTTCAAGGACCAGATAGGGAAGATAGCAGCTTTTAGAGGAGGAACTCAACAAGAATGTGTGTCCTCATCCCTAGAGACACTTCCCACGCAGCCCCATCCCCGCCCTGCCCTTTGTGCCCTATACCCACGGCCCTGACCCCCCTCCACTCCAACACCTCTTGTCCGAGGGGTAGAGCTCGACAGTCAACACGTCCAGCGCGTTCCAGGATGCAATGCTGACGCCCCCAAAGAGGCAGAGCAGAGCGATCATGGCCGACTCACTGTTCCCGAAAGACAGGAAGAAGCAGGAGACACAGGACATCACGCTGGAGCCAGCTGGAGCAGGGACAGGAGAGAGCACTGTGAGCCTCCCCCCACAGTGAAACCCTCCCATAGCCCACCTTGTCCCATCAGCGAGCTCTGAGACAGCACGGGACAGGGCTTTCCTCTCCCCTCGCTCTCTGGAAGGAAGGCTTTTCACTCATCCTCAACCTCCCTTATATTAGCTGCTTGTTTATTAATAATCAGTAACAGCTATTAATTCAGTGCCAGCGACAGGCCGAGCAACTGACTGATGCTTTACGTGCACTGATCTAAAACATCGGTCCTACGAGACAGGTACCATCACCACCTCCATTTTGTAGATGACGGCCAGGCTCAGAGACGTTAAATAACTTGCCCAGGGGAGGTGGTGGGGCTGAGACTCAAACTCACATCCTCAAAACCTGTGATCCAAGCACATGCCCTTCTGCCTACCTTCTTTACCCCTTGGAGAAGCTTCTGTGCAGGACCCACCCCATCCTGCAGCAGCCCCTCAACAGAAAACCTGATAGAGACACCCCCCCCCAATCTTGCACACCCTAAGGTCAGAAGCCTGTTGACAGCCTCCCCGGCTCCCGGCCCCTGGCAATTAGTTCTGATCCACCAGCACCCCCCGCCCCCCAGCCTGTCCCCTTACCAAGCATTCGGAGCCTGCCAATCTTGTCCATGAGCAGGGCAGACACGATATTCCCAGGAAGCACAGCCAGCGTCCCCAAGAAGCTGACAAAGTACACCATGTAGGCCCCTTCGCCTGTCCCCGTCACATCTAGCGGGCAGCCCTCCTTGTTGTGCAGGAAGGTGCTGTTCACCAGTCGGCTGTTCACAAACTTGTACTCAAACAGGTCTGGGGGTGTAGGTCAAGACAGGCAGGCAGTCATAATAGCAAATGTGACAGGGAGGCTGCTACTGTTTATGACTCAGGGCTCTGCCTTTGTGGGGGGTCAGCATGGAGGGACTTTCAAAATCGGGGCACTCATTACAAAACATCAAATAATATCACCATGGGAACTAAGAATTTTTTTTTTTGAGAGTTTTTTTTTTTTTTTTTTTTTTTTTTTTATGGGCACGTTGTCCCCAGAAAGACAGAGAAAGCAGAGATACAGAAAGCGAGAAATCCCCCCCCAGGGGGGATGGCCATGCCACAATCCCTTCTCCTCCATTCTTCCCTCAGGATCTTGGTGCACACACACACACACCCGGTGTGCATTTAAGCCACCAGGTCAGGGACTCAAACCGTGGTCGACTACATGGGAGTCCAACGACATAGCAATTACGCTAACTGCTGGTCCTGGGAACTAGGAATCTTTACAGCAGAGAATGACCATAATGTATCAAACATGTGACCATTTCCAAGTTTTCCCATTCATAGTCTTTGCTTCCTGTTCATTCTCTTTGTCAGTCCTTACTGACTATAAGCCATAGCAGTGCCATGGGATTAGGGCATTTTTCTGAGAAAAAAAAGATTAAAATACTGGGTCATCAGAAAAGTCATGATGTATTTTTTCTATGTTCTCCTATGCAAAAATGTGTCATGACTTTTCCAATGACTCAGTAACAAAAAAAATTGTATCTACTGTTGTTTTCCTGCAAGGTAGGAAAAACACATCTAGTACTCCATTTAGAGGGAGAAAACCTTAGTGTAGCTCAGAAAAAACAATGGTTTGTGTACATAGGGTTTGAGAGTCACTGTTAAAGAAGTGGATTAAGGATCCCCGACCTTTTGTCTACCACATATCCCTTTCATTAGTTTTCTTTCTCCCACAGACCGTCTTCAATTATTTATGCCCTCTTTAAAAATTAATACTACCAGGACCAGCAGTTGACATAATGGCTACGTAGCTGGACTCCCATGTAGTCGACCACGGTTCGAGTCTCGAACCCGGTGGCTTAAACTCACACTGGGTGCGTGTGCATGCGTGCCCAAGATCCCAAGAGGAGAGTGGAGGAGAAGGGATTGTGGCGTGGCCATCCGCTCTGGGGGGTGATTTCTCCCTTTGTCTCTCTGTCTCTCTGTGTCCTGGCAAGCACACACACCCTATAGCAAAAACCTCTCCAAAAAAAAAAAAAAAAAATTAACACTACCACGCTAAATTATTATGATGCCAGCCAAAGGCGAAGAAACTTGATGTTTCTGTCAGATATTCTATCACAGGAAAATGTCCAATATCCATTAAATTTTCCCAATTTTTGGTGGTAGCTAGTAACTCCCATTTCCCTTTTCCCCAGGACTCCAGAGGGTATTCATCTTGAGAACCCTAAGCTGGTGAATGAGAAAAGGCCTTTCTCCCCTCATCCAGACTCCCCCTGACCCTGCGGTCCAATACCCAGCAGCCGCCCCACCTTACCCGTGTTATAGAACACAGTGTTGATGAATGTGCAGTTGCGGAAAAACGTGTTGCTGGATGTGACATCCTCGAAATAACACTCCTCGAACAGGGAATCCTCGAAGGACACTGACTTCAGACGCAGCCCAATGAACCTGTAAGGCCAGGATGGTGAGAGACGCTTCCCCTCATCCTCACACCCTCCTCCAAGACTCACTCCCTCAGTGAAAGAATAGGAAGCTCTGCATTGAGGAAGAACCACAGATATCTGCCCCTCAAACCCCTGATCTTGAACTCCCAGGCTCATAGAAGAGACAAGGAGTGAAAGGGACCAGGGAGGAGTGAAGTTTAAAGGTCCCCACATACTTGTCATTGAAGTACTGCCCTCCTCGGTGGATCTGATTCTCCAGCGTGAAGTTGAAAGTCACGTGCTCCACGCGCTCTCCGGGGAACACTTTGGTGCGGGCTGCATAGTCCACCGCCTGGAGATGGCGGATCATGTCAGGAAACCAGACGGTCAGGCCGTAGTAGCTGAAGAGTCAAAGGCGAGGACTCCGAGATTAGAACCAGGCAGTCCAGACCAGCCTATATGAGGCCTTTGCTCACCTCCAACCTCATCGCTCATGACTTCTTTCACCAGGTGGTGTGTGGTTCTGGGGACCTAAGGTTCTTCTCCCCTACTCACCACGCTCTTACCTCCCAGGCATTTGCTGTCCCTCTGCCTAAAACACTCCCCCACGCCCAAGCCCTCAGTCCATCCAACTCTCATTCATCTTTTAGGACTTAGGCCCACACCCAGGGCCCACACGCTCGGCCCTTCCCCACCATGGCACTTGTCACACTGTTTATGTTGGCCTTGCTCCCTGACCAAGACGTCAACTCCATGAAGACTGGGACCACGTCTACTTCCAGCCAGCGCAGTACCGGCACGGGGTAGAAACTAACACTGAGCTGGCTGTAATACACATTGAATGAATAGACGAAGTAGCGGAGCCGGGTGGGGCATGAGGTCTGAACAGCTTTCCCTCATTATTCACCCCCTCACCTTCATCTTCCCCACCTCTCTCAGCCCACCACCCCTCACCTGAACGACATGGTGAACCACACACCCATCATCATCAGAGTGATGCGTCGATATTCTGGACCAAAACAGGAGAGGAAATTCCCCCAAACCTACAAGGGACAGAGCAAAGGCAGGCGGTGGCATCGACAGGTCCCCATTTTTCAGCCTGCCACCTCCCTTCAGTTCGTCCATCATCCCCACACATAGGCGCAGGCCCTGCCTTCCTTTCCACCTTTTCCATGCCCTTCTCTCTCTCCACCATCCCTTCCCCATTACCTGCCCCCCCAGGCTCAAGGCCCGGACCCCCCAGCGCTGGTACCAGGTCCCTGTGTCTGACTGGATCTCAATCAGTTCATCCTCCTGGTGAATCGTCTTAATGTGGGTTACCTGGGGTCAAGAGAAGAAGTGAACAGTCATGCACCCTGTATTTCCCAACCCCTTCCAGGTGCCTCAGTGTCCCCCGCAGTAGCATAATGGGAGGCAGGGGGTGGATATGATACCCTACGAATCTATGGGGTAGAGTGGTCTGAGCTATCTGGGAACACAGGGTATCCCGAGAGGGGCAAGTGGGCGCTGGGGCTGCGGTGGGGAGGGCTGCGGCTTACTGAGAACACGCGCTCAGGATGCCCCTTGGCTCGCATGTTGGTGTCATGAACCTGCTTCAGCACCATCCAGGCCTCATCATGCTTCCCGTTCTAGAGCCACAGACATAACCCCCACATCCAGGTCAGCCCCTCTCCAACCCAGCGTTACAGACCCCCTCCCTCCGCCTGGTTTCAGGAGCTACAGGGCACAGAAAGCCCCCCTCCAGCCCCCTGACCTATGACATGCATCGCCCACTCTGAAAGGGCCCAAGCTGGGGTAGAGCAAGACGTAACCAGACTGAGGCGAGAGTGGGACGGGGCGGGGGAGGCCCAGGGGGCAAATGCAAGCACAGGTCCTGGGGACTCCCTGGTACAGTGGAAAAAAACTGCCAAGAGCAGTCACGGGCAAGTGCGTGGACAGAGAAGGGGCAGCATCCTGACCCTGCAGACCAAGGTGTAGTTGGAGGAGGAGAAAGGAGGGCAGGAACTTCCACTGAGCTGTAAAGTCAGCGCTAGGCCTTCAAGGGCCCTGCCTGCAACATTTTAAGCCATCCATAGTTGAACAGGTGCCCTGACTTCTCCAACCACACAGACCCTCTGGAGACAAAGGAGGCAAGATAAAGTTCCCCAGAGCACGGACTCTGTGCAGAAAGAAGGCCACCACACAGCATCGACTCAAGCCCACAGTGGGTATTTAAACACGGGAGCCCCCGCTGCCCTCTCCCCTGCCCAGCCCCGCCCAGCCCCAGCCCCATTCACCTCCAGGAAGAAGCGGGGGCTCTCAGGCTGTGTGGTCAGAGCCCCGATGGCAAACACAGAAGGAAAGGCGCAGACAAGGACAAAGACCCTCCAGCTGTGGAACTGGTAAGCAGAACCCATCTGAAAACTCCACCCTGGCGGGGACAGAGGCACGGCATCAGCAGAGAGGCACCAGAGGCTGGGAGCTCCCACACAGGGACACGAGAAGAGGAGGAGGGACAGAGCTAGGGTGGATTTCTAGGGCTGCTCACCATAGTGGGGAATGATGGCCCAGGCCATGGCAGCTGCATACACTCCACCGATCATCCAAAACATGCAGAGCCAGCTCAGGTGCTCCCCGCGTTTCTCCTGGGCCAGAAACTCCGAGAAATAGGAGAAGACAATGGGGATGGACCCCCCGATCCTGGAGGGTATTTCAAGAACTCAGCATTAGAACAGAGAGGCCATATTCCAGATCCCAAGTGCTCTGGGTCCCCAGCGCCCTTTGATCTTGCAGACTGAGAGAACCCATCTCACATATAGTGCCCAACCAGCTCCGCTCACCAGCCCTCTCTGGTACTGTGGGAAAGAGGCAAGGAGGACTCAGGGAAAGGGAAGGAACAAACAGTAAATCTTGACGATAACCACGGAGTTGGAAGAGAGGGAAGACTGTTGGAAAAGTAGGGGGGAAAATCATCAGAAGAAAAAGATGAGTAAAGAGGAATCTGAGGGCAGGTGTTATGGGAACAAGTCAGAAGGGGCTCAGAGAGAGGAGGGCCTGCTGGTGCTCGAGGAAGTGCATGGGTGGGAGCTCCAGAGTCACAGCAGATACAACTGTTAACAGGGTACATGGGCAAATGCAGGAACTATGGAGACTCTGGGAGGGATAACTGTGGCTCACAGGGGCCAAGGGTGCGGCAAAGGCCCGCTAGGCCTCCTCATGGAGGCAGGTTTAGAAGCGGGACTGGAGGTAGGCCGGAGGACTCAAGAGTGGACCAGATATGAAACAACCTTCTAGATGGCAACAGACAGGCCTAGACCAGGGGAAGCTGGCCAGAAGATTGGGCAGGGCGGGGGAGGGGGTCATTCATTCATTCATTTAACTCACACATAGTCGAGGTACATGTGGTATGTCTGCCTGATGCTGTGCGGAGCCCTAAAGACATAATGGTGGCCAAGGTACCATCTGTCTCAAGGGCCTTAGGAGCTGGACACTCACCCAACTCCAGAAAGGAGGCGGCAGAAGAGGAACGTGCCATAACCCTGAACGAAGGAGGAGAAGAAGGCAAAGACGCTGTTGACTGAGAGCGAGATGAGTAGACACTGTCTCCGACCCAGCCGATCAGCCAGACCTCCCCAGAGGAAGGCGCCCACCATCATGCCCAGGTAGACGATGAGACCTGGAAAGAGGAGGAAGACGAGGCAGAGGGGCATCTCAATTGAGCAGACACAACTCAGTTCTCCCACTTGCTGAGTATTAAGGGAGCTGAAACTGCAGCCTGATGGGTCAAGGATCTACAGAACTTCTAGAAGCTAAGTCTACTCAGAGATGAAAGTAGAGTGAGAGAACATGAATTGTGTAAGCAAAGACAGAAAGTCATCTCTGCAGGTCAGGGGTTCAAAGGTAGAAATGCAGATATGGGAGACCCCAGAGTTGTGCGATTCTCCCTCTCTCTTCCTCCTCACCTCCTCATTCTCTCTGACATTCTGTCACACACTCGCATACATGACACCCAGTCCCTGGCTCACCTAGAAGTGGGAATGGATCTGCCTAGATTCCCAGACCCTCCAGGATCCTCTCTGTCCTCTCCACTTTATGCTTTCAAAGCAGCAGGAGGGCTTTCTATCATTCTTTAGGAAATAGGCTCGAATTCCCTCAATCCTCCCAGGGAATCCCCTGCACAGAATCCATCTTTTACTCCTTCCTGTCCCAACACTTCTAGTCCTCAGACTTTCCTATTTCTTACTTCCTTCATAAAATCAGGGTTGAAATAGAGCTTAAAATCCTCTACTCCACAGGACAGCTCCACGGTATAGTGGTAACATGATACTTGTGAGGGGCAGGATCTCACATGGCTACCTGGCATGGAATCCCCAGCTCAGACAGACTAAGACATGCTGTCCACACCCAAGTGCCCCAGATTGGATGGGCTAGGGAACTAGAAGAAGGGGATCACAGGGTGACCAGACCCCCAGAAATAGAGAGGAAGCATCTCTCTCCCTCTCTCTCATGTACACACATGCTCTCTCTCATGAATAAAGAAAAACAAATTTTTAATAGTCTTTTAAAAAATCATCTACTCCAGGGACCAGCAGATGATGTAAATACTACGTCGCTGGACTCCCAACCACAGTTCAATTCCTGAACCAGGCAGCTTAAAACTCATGCCAGGTGCATGTACATGCATGCCCAAAATGCCGAGAGGAGAATGGAGGAGAAGGGATTGTGGTGTGGCCATCTTCCCTGTGGGGTGATTTCTTGCTTTCTGTCTCTTTGTCTCTCTGGCAAGCTGCACACCCTATAGCAAAAATCTCTCGAAAAAGAAAAAAAAATCTACTCCAAACTTTGCACTTTACCCATGCCCTAGGAGGAGACCTATCTAAGATCCCAAGGCAATTTTGTAGCAAAACAAGGCCTAGATCCTTTCTCAGTTACCCTAGGGGGTTTTCTCCTTCAGGATCTCTATCAGGAGGGGCCAACAGAGACCACTCCCTGGCTCCTGGACACTCCCAAGTCTGAGAGCAAGTGTAAGCAGCTTCTCTGGCCAAAGAACCAGGACCTTCTCTTACCTCCGCCACCCCAAATTATACAAGGAAGTTTGTATAATCCATGTTATACAAGGAAACTACGGCACTTCCCAATTTATACAAGGAAGTTTAAATACTGGCTTCTTATTCCCCATTAGGGGAATAAGAGAATAAGAGGAAAGGCTATGAAAAAAGCATTAAACAGTGGGCCATCCCATCAGGACCACCACCTGCAGAGCTAACTAAGCAGACCACCACCCACCCACTGGCCCAAGCCCCTCTTTCACTTTACTTTGATCCAGCCCCCGAAGAAGAAATTGACAGTGAGGGGAGCATGCACAGAGAAATCAGCTCTCTGGGAACATCTCAGGAGCAGAGACTGAGGGAGTCCAGCCGGTAAGGTCAGGAGTTCCCAGGGACAAGGGTGCTTCCAGAGTTCAGGGCAGAAAAGGGCTGGAGTGCCCCACAACATGTCTTACCCAGCATGCCCTTGTTGGAGTCAGACAGGCACATGTCTTTCTCGGCGCTGGGCAGCACGAAGCCCACCACAAAGACCTCCACACCATCAGCCATGAGCGCCAGACCAAGCACGAAATACAGTGTCCACTGGAAGCGGCCGTGGCCACATTCCCGTAAGATAGCTTCATACTGCTGGGCCAGTTCTTCCCGTTCTTTCCGCCGCTGTGCCTCTCCCCGGCCCCCAGGAGGGCCCTCCCCATCACTCAAGCCCCCCCTCGCCCCAGCCAGGGGTGCCCCATCTGCCATCCGCTCGCCTTTGCCCCCAGACTCTGCCCGGGGAATCCCCTGATATTCCCCCTCGTAGATCTCATCATCCTCGTCGTGGCCTTCAGTGGCATCACTGGATGCACCACCTTCTTCCTCGTCCTGGGCCCCTTCCCCTCGGTAATAGCCGTCAGCGGGGGCAGGGTAGTCGTCGTCATCCTCCTCCTCCTCAAAGCGAGAGTAGGATCTGCGAGAATATTCGTCCTGGACTCTGTCCAGACCCTTCACCACCTTCTTGGCCGCATGCTTCTTGACCTCCTTGGCAATGTCTTTAGCCCCACGGATGAAAGCTGCCCGGTCTCGGAAGCCCTCTTCCATGGTGGGCTTTGGGGCACGTCACGGGATCTCCTCTACTCCCTGCTGCTTTGTCAGCTTTTTGCTCAAGACTCGTGGAGTCGAGAAGACCCCTCCCCCCCGTTTCTTAGCTGCAGTGTGTTCCAGTATCTTTGGGCACAGGATAAGAGGAAATCGGACCTGCCCAGTGAGTGTCCAGAAGAGAGAAGGAGGGGCAGGAGCCCTGGCCTATACCCAGTTTAGTTGGGTGGGCGGGGAAAGGGAGAGGAAGGGGGACAGGGGAATGGGAAGGGGAGAGGGAGCCAGGATGGAGGGGCTGAGCTGCGGAGCCAGGGTAACTCAGAAAGGGCCTTCTGCTTCTTTCCCACCAGCCTCTGGAGACCTAGGGAAAAATAAGAGGGAGAGAAAGGACGCTGTGAGTGCTAAGATGCTGAAGAAAGCCAATATAGAGCTTTCTTAGCCCAGAGCCTGGCCAGGACCATATGGCACAGCGATGGTCTGTTTGCTTCCTTCAGGCCCCAACTCAGTACAGAGCGATCACCATCTGGGCCAACTGTGGGTCGCTCACATCTAAGTCCCCTTCCTTTGACCTTGGAGAGACCAGCCCATGGGATTTGCTCCAGAGTCATGGTCACCGACCCTGTCGCACATCAAGCTCAGATCCCTTGCTATACCACCAAAGTACAAAGAACAACACCGGGAAACAGGAGGAACCAGGATTCACCTCCTAGTCTAGTCCGGGTTTCCTTTGGGAGGGGGCGGAGCTCGAGGAGGCCGCGAAGAGGACAAGCCCTCCAATCAGCGCCTTCAGTCCGTCCACGGAGGGCGTCTGAAGGTGGGGCTTCCACAGTCCCTCCCTCAGGTTCCGTGTTTACAGGACTCGCTAGGAGGGATTTTCTCCCAACAGCGGAGTAGGTAAAAGTTCGGGTTTCCAGAGCCGGATTTGGGTTTGACTCCCTCCTTTAGCCTTCCTAGCTGAGGGATCTCGGGTGTGTTTCTGAACAACCCAGCTTCAGTTTCTTCTTTAAATTAAAAAGGGGAAAAGTAAGGACTAAATGGCATATAATATATACAAGCTCCTTGCCAAAGGATCTGGCACACACAAAGTGGTCGCTAATAGCTATGACTCTTGTGGTGCCAGTGATACAGTAAGAGGTCCTTCAAGGTCCCAACGCGAAAGCTGCCTCTGGGCGCTCTTTGGGGTGAGCTGCAGAGAGGGAGACTGGCAAGGAGAACGCTGGTTCTATGCGAAGCCCTTGACACTTAGATGGCTGGTGTTGAAATCCTAACTCTGCCACTTACTGACTGTTCTTGGGCAGATTACTTAGCCTTCCTAAGCCCTTATATGTAAATTGGGGATAATTCCATGGAAAGAATCTCTGTTGCACAGAGTCAGTGTGAGATTCTAACCTCACAGTGTCTATAAATATTCAAGTCCTTCCTTCCTAGTGTACTGAACAATGTGCAAGAAGCAAGAAGCAGCAAGGGACAAGCAGGGGAACACACTTAGACACTGTTGTTTCCTCCCCAAACAGAGACTCCTAAGTCCCCTCTCTGCCTCAACTGAGGCCACCAACTGGGCTTGCATTAGGTCCCTCCAGACAAGCAAGGTAGGACCCCAGAAAGGGGGACGTAGAACCTAAGAATGGAGAAGAGGGCAGATTGAAAGCTAAGGCCGAGAGGGTAACTGGCTATGGCCATCCTCCTTCAGACTGTCATACACAGGCCCCCTTTTATGATGGGGGAGGAATGGAAATGACTGATCAAACTCATATGTTTCCAACAGGAGGTTTAAGGTCTATAGTCGCACCTCTTTCCTCCAGGGCTTCTCTTCCTAATCCCCCTAATCCTTTCTGCTCCTCCTCCAAGAGTCAAGGAAAAAAGGAGTCCACAAATACCGCATTGCGTAGAAGGCTAGTGTAGAACGAAGGGGGCCTTAAGCATCCCCCCAAAAAGATAGCCTCTAGAAAGAGGCATAGGGTAGTCCTCCTTTTCCCCCAGAAGCAGAGGAAGCAGGTCTAGATTTTGATCAGAGATCATTCCACTAAAAATATCCCTCCTCTTTCTCTTCCCACCCATCCAGGGCCTTCATTAAATGTCACACACACACACACACACACACACACCCTAGTAGAAGAGGGAACACTATGTAGTTCAGAGAGAAGCGCTGGCAAGCAGAGCCTTAGCCCCTCAGGAAAGATGCAAGCAGTGGACCAGAGTGACCAGAGCAGTGACCCTTGTCACGTCTTCTTCTTCGTGGTTCAGGGCCCAACCATTCCTGCAAAAGAGAGGGAACTGTGGAATCCTTTCCATGTGTGGCAATTTGCTTCATGTTCCTTTCTTTGCTAACCAGGATCTCCCGGAAACTCCGAAAGGGGCAGGTGGGCCTCCCAGAAGCCACCCCCTATGTCTGTTGACATTACCCTGGGAGCACATGGAGGACAGACAAGTCTCCCACTGTCACAGCAGGAGAGAGAGCTCAACAGCCAGCTCCCCCAGGGCCAGCAAGCCCAGGAGGTCAGGAGGGAGAGAAGACAAATTCTTTGAGCTAGTGAGGAAGTGGCGCTATTTTTAGCCCCAAAAGCAGCACAGGGTGGCTTGCCTATGGGAGAAAGGCAAGACTTGGAGAGGTGGAGGTTAGAGGAGACGAGATTCGGGGTTACACAGTCCTTTAAGGCTGGCTGGCTTCGCCTGACTAAAAAAATGTGCCCAGGAAATTTGTTATAAGGTGGAGAGAGGCAAGGGACCCCTGAGCAAATGCTTCCTTCAGAACAAGTCGCCTAGCCCTGGGTGGGGGGTGGGGAGTCCAGAACCCCTTTTACCAAATCCTTGACGTTGGGGGCCACCCAGATCCCCAGCCACCCTAGTCATTAACAAGGTAACAAGGTCATTAAGAAGCAGTCACTTATCAAAACGTCCGCAGGGCAGGCGGAGGGGGTTGGATGTGGGAGGTGCCTGAGCGCCCCTCCCCATTACAGCTGGTTGATCGAGCCTCAGCCCCCACCCCAGGACGCCAAGGCTGCGCTCCCCCGCCCCATCCCACTCCAGGGTTAGGAAGATGGGAGCACCCATAGTTCTGAGGGGGAAAACGAAGGTGTCAGCTGAGAATGCGCTCCGAGGAATAAGGAGGGGCAGGGACGCAGGGGCGTAGGGAGACCTCCACACGCACAGGCACAGGCGTAGAGACCTCCCGGAACAGCATTAGCGGCGACCACCCCCCACCACCACCCCACATCTCACCTCGACTCAGCTCTGATGTGAGGCACGAGCCCCTAAAATGAACTAAAGCGCTTCCCTGAGCGTCTGCCCTCCCCTTGGTCCTGGTGTTGGACAAATGCCCGCCATCACTCAACACCCCTTCCCCGCACCCAGTGCAACTCCCTTGCCCTCTCCATCGGCGCCCCCAACCCTGGGTCGTTCCCCACCTCTGTCTACCCAGAACTGCCATTCCCCTTCCTTCCATCCTTCACCTGCCCTTCCTCCACTCCCTCCCCGTGCGCCCCCCAAGTCCAGGCGGCAGACTGAGGCAGCGCCCATTCTCAGCCCCAGCCAAGGTCATTTATCATGGGGGGGGTCAAGGCAAGGGAGAGACTGGAGTTTGAGGGAGCCACATCTCACTTAAAAACCCCCAACCCCCATTCCCACCACCACGTTAATCTCCCGAGAGGGTGTTGGGGACTGAGCTAAGGTAGAGAAAAACATGACACGTACATACACACACACACACACACACACACACACACACACGTATGTACATCTTGAACCGTACAACCGAAACACATTCCCATCTTCAAATAACCACCAGCCCCCTCCCCTCCCCCCCCAGGGGACTGTCACCCTCCCCAAAAGCAAAGCATCAAAGCATCGGAGGATAAAATGGCTGCAAGGCAAGGATGCTTCTGCTAAGGGGCGGGGTGAAGGTGAGAGACAGAGAGAGGTCTCACCTGGGCTGGGTTCCCCCGGTAAGGGAGTCCCGATGCGGGCGGGGGTCCCGGCCGCTGGGCTGAGGCGGCAGCGGCGACTGCTCCGGGTACCAGGGGAAGCGGCAATGCAGACCTGCCCCCCCACACTCCGGCCCCGCCTCCGCCCCCC